CTGCGACAGCCATAAGCGACGACCGTGGCATTAATTGACAAGTAATAGAAAACGGTATCCGAAACATTGAGTTTGTTAATAAGGTGAACTAAAGAATAGTGGACAAGCAAGTATCGACCAAAAATGTTAGTGGCGAGCACAGCAGTCCGGTGAAATCGAAAACTGAAAGAACAGAGATAGACAGTGCAGATGGGTGCAGATGGGATGAGCAGGCCGAGGGGTATTCTTATCATATTTCCTAAAAATACTAACAGCGAAGCGAGGTTACCATGAGGTATCAGATTAAATTCACTAAGGATGTCAGCCTTTTGTGCATTTACTCAAACTTGTGGACACGCAAAACAAAAACTTCCTTTAAAAAATGAGATCGTTTGTATGGACGACAGGGTATTGCTGTTCGGCTCAATGAAAAGCAGCCAATCCTAGTCGGGACGACCAAGGTAATTAAGTTACCCTCAATAATAATACAAGATCACCGACACCCGTAAGTTTAAATAAATATATAAATATTTTATTCTCAAAAACGCGAGACATGCCAATAAAAGCATGATCATGATAACAGTCCAACAAGTGATGGGGAAATGTACAAAAATACCTGTTAAGTATAACAGCGAACGTATATTTGTGAGTGTTATAAGATACGTAGGTGTGTATGTGTGTAGCTGTGTTAGTAGGATCTGTATATGTCCCTGCATTATTGACTGCTTGATCGCGTCATCAATGTGTGAACAGATGATTAACGTCCGTGGATTGGATGTGCTTAGCTGGATAAGTAAGGGGCAGTGACTTTAGTTTGTGGTAAATAACATCCAACACGTCACAGCGTTGCTAAACAGACATTTGTGGCTTTTATAGGGAGAACGCTTCCCAAGCGAAAATCCATTACGTCTTGGAACACAGCCGTTGAACTAATTGCTGGAATAGGGTAAACCCGAAGTACACAGCTGGCACCACGGGGAGGTTCTTCGGCTAGCCAGCCAGTGCACTGAAGAAGCAGAGACGAATTTCTTGGACACACCGTTTCTGTTCGAACAGTCCCAAAAAGCATATTGAGTCACCGAATGGAAGGCACCTTTGATATCAAGGAACAAGAGCACAGTGGGTCGCCAACAGAAGTGGCGGTGCCCCAACAACTGAAGTAAAGTGAAAATGTGTTCAATGAAGCTTCGACTTCGACGGAGCCTTACTTACTCCTCACAGAGCTAGCTTCCACGAGTCCCAATCAGTCTGTGAAGAATGCCAGAGACAAGCAACTTAGAAGCAATGGAAACCAAACTGATTCCCCTATGAATGCCACATTCCGAACACGAGCACTCATTGAAAATCGGTACAATAACGGAGCTACTCCAGTCGGTTGGGATAGTTTCTTGTTCTCATCGTTTAACTAATAAATCGCGTAAATCGTCCGCAAGTGCTGGTCTCCCGAATTCGCAGATGACTGGAGGAAGTCCAACTGGTCACGCGGCCTTAGTCAACTTCAGTGTTCTAATCTCACCTTTGACCTCTGTGCAAGGGAACGGATCCAAAGGTACAGCCCAAAGAGCAAGGCGGCCATTAATCGGTAGCGAAACTAGCACTTCCAGCCGAATAAAATGCATTTCAAAGGGCTCAGCACAACATTCCAATCCTTTTGGCACGTTGGGGATAGGTTGTCCAACCTCGCCGCAAATGGTCTCACTAACATCAAGTCTTCCGCTGCCCGTTTCCCATATGAGATGGAACAAGTTTTGTTGGTTACCAAGGACAGCGGCTATTCTCATCTCCGACGCATAATGAGATCACAGGTTTCGCAGCCACTATTCAGATTAGCACGCAGCTTTTCCCCTGAGGTCTCTGCGAGTCATTTTGTGTTGGATCCAAGCCTGCGAGCACACGAAATTTCCACAGGATGCGTAAGGACTCAATGTCCAAGTTGACAATCAGATTTACCACATGGTCCGGAGAACATGCAACCTTCAAACGTGTTTAGTGAACCTTTCCCCAACCCGAATGTTAGCGTACTTTGATAAGCACACAAAATATGTGGCTTCGTCAGTTGGCGGGTGTCTATGCGCTGCCAGGGTCGCCGAGGGTTTCCGTCGAAACGCACCCGGCGGTACATACTGGTGCAAGGAGTATACGCCTAAGCTGAAAATCGATCGACAAGTTTTGGCGCTCTCCAGCGGTAACTGATCGTAAAATGATCGTGTTGTATCCATGACTAGGACGAAGATGGTGTGCGCCATGTCACCCTGTTGGGGGTGCAGTGTATGAAGTAAGTGCTGGCGAAAAATAGACGAACATCTTTACAAAGATGTAAAAACCACTCACCGTCATCATTAGAGGAGCATGCACAGTGTTGGTTGCCCGGGTGCAGCTCATTAATAGATAGTTTTCGAATTTGGATGTTCAGATGATCAGTCAGAAGTACAATATCTGTACTTGTGCTGTGACGAAGGAGCGCATTAAGTTGGTGATAGAAGTGATCCTTAAGCAAGTCAGCACTACAATTTGTGAGAAGGTAAGCAGCAACGACAAACAGGCACCTATTAGCTCCACGCGACTTCAAGGTTTTGAACGAGCCAACTAGGAGGATGGTGCACATTCGGCTGCTGACCGAGATCCAGTCTATCAGAGCAGCTTAAGCCCGGGGCCTAGCGCAGTACCCACACCAATTGGACCGGTATTTGAATTGGGAGGCTGAAAACAGGGAGTTGAAAGTGAAATTGGGATGGAACGGTGAGGATGCGAATCCGTAAGAGGGAGAGTAAGAAGGCGGGAAGGTTTGACCAGCAGCATTGACACCCCCTATCCGCTACGCACTACGAGGAGGATATGGCACCTTTGACTATGCTCCAAGATGACCAGAACATCAAAAATTATGTGAATAGGTTTTCATCGTATTGCGTAGGCAGGATACTGTCAAGCTGCACAGGCCTAGACAAGAGTGACTAGGGTTCGCAACCAGTCTTTGGTTAGAAAACCTCACCGCAAGGCAGTGCGAGTTTGGCAACGTGCTATAAAGTCTGTTTTAAGAAATAAAAAGCCACACCCATTCCAACCACAAGGCTGGAGCACTAGCACTAAGCTTGTTTCACCACTACCCGTTGAGCTCTCCGGTGTAAGGAGTACCACCCGGCAAAGCACGATGGGGCACTGAGACAAGTAAAACATCGCACCACGATAAGGTCTAGTCTCATTACGATGGGCATCAATTCCAAGAAAATAAAGTCCGGGATTTAGGGATGTCTGTTAGAGAAGCTAACTCAGAGTGCAGATGCCAAAAAACAATGTGAGATGGGATCGTTGGTCCGAAGGAAGTGATGCATACATCGCTAGTACCAGCATCGTTAGATCAATGGTAATTTCTTGCTCAATAGGGGGAAGAGAACGGTAACAAGAAACAATATTTGCGGCGTGTCCTAGATAGTAGGCCACTCTTCGGCTGCCCATGCTAAGAGAAGAATTTGATTAGAGATGCCTTACCTCTCAACTTGGACATAAACGTAAGTAGCGAGTAACACCAGCTCCTGAATGGGATTTCAATCCAGCCGAAATCTGCATGAGGTGTGTCACATCCAACACTTGAAGAGTCAGAGAAATTCATATGTGTTATCGACCGTACTTTATTACGTACCTGCAAAAGCGGCGAGTTTGCACTCCGTATACCATAGGCAGTCTGGCTTAATGCAGACGACAACAGACAACCGAACACGAGTGGTACCCTCCAAAGACAACGCGTGGCACTCATGCTCTGTGCCAACCGAGCTTCCATAGTCAATGCACGAAGGAGAAAGGTCATCGACCTCTTTCAGACTTCTGAAGGTGTTGAGCTTGAGTTTGTCAAACCCTTAGCCACTTACCTAACTAGTAACTAGTGCAATCCAAAGTTGCCCAATCATCGTTGAAGTGTGGAAATCATCGAAAAGTGTATTGGTCCAGACCCGTTGCGGTGTATTTTACAGTTTGTTAAAAGGTTTGGCAACAAACATTCCGGTGTCTAACTGCAGTGGCTGTTGCATCGCTTTCAGCGACTCGGTCAGATGCACCACATGCTTAGAAGTAGCTGCTTTAGAGTGCTTTGCCTGCCAACACCTTGCCAATCGGGGAAAAACAACATGGTGAGAGTATGAAAAAGATGATCAAAAAACTATCTTGAATACGATCCCAAGTGGCCTCACAATTAGTTTGATACCTTATCGAATGGCAGAGGCACAAAACCAGTGCTGCTCTTGCATTCGCTCCCTAAGGCCTTTGGTAGTTCACCCGACGAGTTCCATTTGGGTCATTCCGCCTGCATCACTAATATTACTGGCATCATTATTATCGTTAACATTGTTGTCTTCGTTGATTTGTGCCGAATCAAAGAAATTCATCGAACGGTGTATGAAGATAAATGGATAAACTGGTTAAGATCTCAGTAGATAATATCGTAGCACACAGTAAAACAATAAATGAAGGTAAAGGACCAATTTCACAAAAGCAATATTTAATGTGGTTGTGTGTAGACGGCTGTAAGAAAAAGCTATTGCATCGCGATATGCTCTGTATAATTCTTAAGATTCGGGATGCCCCTGAGTTAATCTACTTCCAATTTCGATGAGACCGTTGTAATGCTAACAGTTGTTGCAGAGGATATTCGTTAAAGACAGTATAGTTTTTCGTGCTCACTGCTGAAAGATCAAACTGAGGCGGAAACATCAATGTCAATAAGATGGCAACGACATTAATGTTGAAAATTCTCGTAGGTCCCTAAAATAATTATTTTTAACAGGAAAGTAGTTTGGTTAAATGACACGTAAAACTTATTCCGGCAACGATGACACAGGACAAAAGAGCAACAAATATGCAATATTCCAACAGTGTAAATGGAAGGATTAGCGTATTAACGTAGCTCAATGCTATAAGAGACCTGTCCTTAGTAGCTAGACGAACGAAAAAAGTTAAGTCATTAAAAGATGCAAAGCATAAAAAATAGATTAGATCATTTATGAGCTACGCCTAACAGTGATTTAACTCACCTCATAGACAGTTGTATTATTGCGCACAATTTGTCTTCTAAAAGAAATCAACATAACAGTGATAAAGAAATACCTATCATATGGGATCAGCATATTCTTTACGAGAATATCATGGACAGCTTTGCCCAAAATCTCGTCATCTCGAGAAGGAACGATGAACTCTCCTCTTAGAAAGTTTTCGCTTGCTTCAGATTGTTTTGAATAAAACTATTAACTAGTAAGTCAAATGAGGCGACGTACCCGAATTGAAGGGACACCATGAATATTTTGTTCATCACAAAGCATTTCATCTTTTGGATCGTCGCAGTCTACAGCGCCAATGATAACGTCCTTGGTCCAGTCTTTGCTACAGTTGAGAGGATGGTAGTTCACTCACCAGAAATTTTAGCGACCAGTTTTTTAAATATTGGCAAGTATGAATGACAAGCAGGGCAAGATGTCCGATGGAAAATAACAAGAAAATTGGATGATCTGGGATTTTCAAGCATTTCCTTTGTTATCGGTTGCACATTCTGTATTTCTAGATAATCACTACAGTGTAATGGAACAAAAACGATGGAAGCAACCAAGAAGAGCAACCACATGGCCAACGGCCTTCAAACGTTAAAATGTGACACAGTGCTTGAGCTTATTTAGACAACCTAAACAAAAGTAGTCAGCTATTTTCAAAACATATAATGTATGATGAAGTACAATTTAGTAAGTAATAAGCTGGTTGACGTAAGTATGTTTTACGGGATGGGAATGAGGAATGTATTTCATCCTTTATGATTACAAATACTTTTTACAAGTTTGGCTATGAAGCGTCCTGTTTCGTGTGCCCGTAAATAAAATGAGTTCTCAGCACTACTAATTAATAATTGATTGCCTCCTTCATGCTGAAGAAAGATATTCAGCTGCAAATAAATACCATCATTGCGCATTCTTAAAGTAGCAGCAATGGATTCTTTCAAATAGCTGTCTATGAAGAAGTAAATGCGGCAAAAATAGTGTTAGTCCATTCCTTGTTGCTTTCAGTGCAAAACAGTGTTGCTGACACGGTACAATTGTACAATTATATTGTTTCGATGAGATTTTTCTATTCATGTCACGTATATGATCAATGAGTACCGGGTGTGCAAAGGATGACAACGAGCGGCATACATTAAGAAAACACAAGTAGCCGGTGTAGGTTACATTGTTTGATTAAGTTATTCCACAAACCTATTGATAGTGCAAACGTGTCTTGCATTGAATCAGGCGTGGCCTTCAAAGTTGTCCGCGCTGTACGATTCGTTACATTAACCTTTTTCAACACACTTACTTATATATTTTGCTTTATTGGTTCTTGTTTTAGTTCAACACTCGTCCAGCTATTTAGCTCTACTCATGCTGTCTTTTAAAACCGCTACATTTTGCTACCCTTGTAACTCTTGTATATCCGAAGGGTTGGGTTTTCAGAAACAATCTGAAATGAATTCATGGGAGGTTTAACCATTCTGGTAAAATCATTGTACTGTATGTAGAATTGTTCTTCAAAAGAACTGATTGCGAGGTCTGAGCGCCTCAATTTTGCTTAGCACTAAAACCCTTTCGTTCACGGGGAGAGCAAAATCCAAACAAACGTTAGATTTTCACGTGAGTTTTCGCAGCTTATATCAAGTTATGTTAAATGAAACTGGTTTCATGAAGCAGTGCAGGATGTAGTCGTATCTGTTGGAGAATGTATTTGCCATCGGTTTGACTGCCCATGCACGTACCGAAACCGTATCTGTGGAGTATTTATTTTCACCAACCCGTCTTCGTATTGCAACACAACGAGTCTTTTTCCTTCTCATAGTTTCTCAATTGCCTTGTCATACAATGTAAGCATAGGTGTACGAACGGTTATCGAACAATATTGTTGGTTAACAGCCGCATATCTCCCAGCTGTCACATTGCTGAAGCTGAGTACTTTTGCGCGGCTACTACAACTGCCATAGAACACATTGCTTGGTCACCGTGCATCTGCAACGAAGAGTTCAATGGAGATGGCACTACTTTCTCACCGCACTAGGGTCACGAACTATCGTCAGTCTGCCCACTAGGTTATACGCAACCTTGGACCTGGTGTTGGTTAATAATGTGAAGTGGTTCACCGTACTTGCTCTGGTTCCAATCGGCAATTCTGATCATACAACCATCAAGATTTATCAGGTCATCTTTGTCAAGGACGGCCACCAACAACTAACTCGCTGTAATGATCGAGGGGTCAGCTGGAGACAGTACTCACCAAATAATCTCGTCAGATCTCGCGAACTTACCGCGTCAAAGTAATTTATCTTGCTCCTTATCCCTGTTGTATCCAGGTATGGTGATACGTTTTGCAGCTATTTAAACTTCTGTTTACCTGTTGACCCTTGGAATGTATTTAAGTCCGCGCTGACAGGCTTTTCTCCCCCAACCTAAAGCTGCTACGTCGACTTAAAGATAAAGCGTTTGAAAAAGGTCGGCTCCTCAGTAACATCTCTCACAGCTCGTACTAAGAAAGAGCCATTCTCCCTTGACCAAGTGTATGTCCAGCCTGTTATAGAGAACTGCTGTTGTCTTGAACGCTGGAGGATGCTGAAAACGCTTAGCGGAGTTGCTAGACCTTCGTCATACTTTGATGTAGGCGTAGAGAAATTGAAGCAGTTCTGTATAGGTACTACTACTACGGCTCCAGAGTCTTCCGGTGTCCAAGTTCTGCCATCGGTTGAACCACTGTCTACCGTTGACAGCGAGTCTGTAAATAATCTACCTATACATCTGTGTTCCGGTAAAGTTAGTGGGCCAAACATGCCATTTCCTATCTTACTCATAGAACGTGTGGATTGTTTAGCAGCCCACCTTACAAGTATTTAGACAAGGTGTATGCAGCAACACAAATTAACCGACTGCTGGAGAAGTGTCAACGTTACCCCAGGTCCCAAAAAGGGCGCCAACGAATAGCGATTTATCGCATGCCTTTCCGTTGCTTGGAAGATTCTGGAGGAAGTCATTCTCGTAATGGCGCCATCCAGAACACGCTCTATGGACCCCGTTAATTCGTCTATGGTAGGTAGAGGTATACCCTAGATGCTATGGCCTCGTACAGTTTATGCTGTCACGGTTGACGATAAGGATAAAACAAATCGGATGTGTTTTCTTGTGTACGGCAACGCAGTACGTTGTTTAAACCGCGAATTGCTACTAGCAGACCTACTTACTTAAAGCGTACATCTCTCCATCGTCTATTTACTGAGTGCTTAGTTTGCTGAACGCGGTCAGACTAGCAGACTTAGTGCCAGTTACTCCTCCCCACTGCTCACCAACCATGGTGTCCTTCGGGGGCCAATTCCGTCGCCTTTCTCTTTTCTACTTACGTCAGGTCTGTGCCAGCTCCAACTGAAGCGAAGCCGCTAATATATGCAGACGATATATTTCTGAGCATTCTTGCGTGGCGCCTGGGAGACCAGTCGGCAATCAATTACACGTAAGTGACGTGTCAAATACCTGGCAGTATAGCAGTTGAAGGAGACTGAACACAAGCTGTATTGTGCAGGAAAAAGGAAGCGAATCAAATAAAGCGAGAAACGGTGCAGCAAGATACCCACCAAAACAATTGGTGTCAAGGGAAGTGCCGTCAGTAGTACAGTTGGAAGTTTTGCATGTAAAAAATGGTACACGCTAATGTGGCAAAATACTTAAAGAACGCGTTTTCCGGTACATTACAACCTCAAACACCAACGCGCTGACCGTTCAATCAGACTACAAGCGCTTCTGAAAGATCTCCATGGCCGGTCCGAATCCCGGGATCTTTCTCTCAATGCTTCAAAGTACCAAGATGTTCTTCGTACCTTACACACAGGAGCCAGGCAAATAGAGCTCCTTATACTGTGCAACAAATTACATGCTCATTGCAACGGATTACGATCTTCCACAGCAATAAACTATCTGGGTGTGACGCTGAGTTACGATTTAGCTTGGACTCTTCAAGTAGGATAAAGGTTCACAAAGTCAGCAAGCTTTCCTTCTATGCCTCTCAGCTTAGAGCCATCTCCGTTCCCCGTAAGTTGATCGTTCGCTTTGTTCATGCGTGTGTGCTTCCCCAGTGGACCTACTGTTCCCTTGTGATCTTTCCCGGTCGTTTGGGTAAGTACTGTAAGCTACTTGTCAGCTCCTGAAAGCACTTAGCCCAAGGAAGCGGTGTTCCGATATCTACTTTACCAGCCCGCTTGCTATTACAAATATCAGCTTTTGTAACAGATGGACCCTGAGATACTGACTGATACAAGTCATCCCCTACATCCTGCCTTTTTGAAGGTTAATAAACTTTCGCAACTAGGCAGAGGCACAAGCTTATCTATGCCCCTTGTCAGTAACCTCTAACCTCTCGAGTCTTTTGCGTGACCCCTACTTTGTCATCCTTAGCTTAAACAGCCGACTTTCTGCTTGCTTATGCGTTTGTCCTTATCCAACCGTTCTTTGTCATCTTGATTTGCTATTGAGTTGATGTTTGGTATTGTGACGAGATCGTGTGCTGTAGCTGAATATTCACCCATGCAACTTGCATAAAGTAATTTCTTGTAAAAGTGATTTGTGAGGTTGTAGGCTCGTTGCAATTCATTGCAGGCATTTTTACGTTGCGTCAAGCATTCGGTTTTATACAACCATGAGGGGCGAATTTGCCGTTGTACCATGCGCACGATCGAAACCGTAAAACTACAAATTATGTATGCAAAAACAGTAAAAGATGGCGGCCAAAACAATGTTTCATATGTGGCACAGGATGGCTAAGCTTATTCCCTGTTTAGTCCTTGCATGCCAATATTCGGAATAAGCAAAAATCTGGCTAGCCAAGGTGTGACAGATGAGACACATGCATACGGGCGTATATGCATGCCTCTGTAATTACTTCGTGTCAAGGAACTAGAGTTTTAGTTAAAGAAATCTCTTTGTTTAGATAGCTGATATCAGCGATTATTTTGGAAGCGTGTTGAGCATGAATTGACATGAACAGATACAATGTGTTGAACTAAGGTTAATAAATAAATACCACTGCGTCGAGATATGTGTTTAAGCGATCTATGAATTAATTTGAAATGCTTACCGAAGAGGCCCGGAAAGCTAATAGGAGGACAGTAGTTATAATGTAGTTTGACCCATGCGCTATTTTATCACAGCAACAACTGGTAGGAGATTAAAGACGAGGGAAGACGTGCGACATAAAAGGACGGCCGCCTGATTTCGATGAAGTGTTCATTCACTTGAAATGCATACGATAAACCACGGCCGATTGTGATTCCTAACTGCTTCACCGACACCGAGCAGCTCAGACTTTTACCACTGATGTGAAGTTGAAAAAATGCAACGTCGTGTTTCTGGTAACGATCTGTCTTGTGCAGCGCGTACAGTATAACATTGAACTTGGAAGCATTCAAAGTTAAGCCGCAGCAGTTAGACCAATGTAAGCTCCAAAGCAAACCAGGTTGTAGCATGGTTGAAGAGGCTGAAGTTCGATGATTTGCGCCAATTAGTACAAAAACGGCGTACTTTAGCAATCTCGCTTTTTCAGGGACAGGAATGGCGCAAAAGTAGGGGAGAATAAGTATGGCGAAAGAGTAGCACCTTGAAGGACACCGGAAGTTGTGGTAAGGAGCAAGGATCTGCCGTTTAA